TTCCCTACCTTTTATTTGCTGGGTAAACCTTTTTTCTGCTGATTTTGAAAGCGTTCATCCAGTATAAATAAAACGTTACGAGTGTTTTCGCTTCTGATGGTGACGCCTGCTCGGGAGAGTTGCACTCACACTTCCCCTCGCCATGTACCTCCCAGCACGTCCCTGTCCCCACGTCCTGCACAAGATGGGGGACATGCTGGCTCCCGCTCGCTCAGGCCCCCCAGTCCGGCACATTGGGTCGTCCAGGTACCAACTTACTTCTGATGGTTGTGGGTACTCGGGTTTCGGGGGAGGCGGGAGTGAATCTTACCAAGTCATTTCTTGGCCTTTTCTCCCCATGTCCCGCAAACCCTCCTGAACCTCCAGGTGAGGCTGTGTCCTTCACCTGCATGTTGAAACCTAGCGTAGCTGGGTATAAAATTCCGAGTTTGACTTGTTTCCCAGACCTTACACTCACTGTTGTTTGAAAGACAGTGGTGCCTGTGGGATGCTTATGGCTTCCGAAGGAAAGCTTCTCAGACCTTTCTGTTCATCTCTCGCATTCCTAAACGTCCTTGTAAGTGACTTGGCACGTTCTTCTTTTTGTCTCCTTCCTGACACTCAGTGAGCCCCTCGGTCTTGCTCTGATTCCAGGAAGATTGGGCTTTTTATTTCATCCCCTCCAGTTTCTTTCCTCTTTCTGGGGTCCAGTAGTGAGGAAGTTGATGCTTGTGTGAGTGCCCTTCACGTCTCTGACCAGAGAGAGCTGCCCATGGGTGTGCAGCCGCCCTCCTGTCCTTCAGCCCAGCCTGCAGTCGTCCTCTCCTCTGCTTGCCCTCCTCTGCTTGTCTTCATCTTCCTGGCTCACTCTTTGTGGGGCCCTGGTGGGTCCCCAGCTCCTCTCTCTCTCTCACCTTCCAGATATTTTGTCTCTCGGCAGTGGTTCCCTATCTGGAGGAGTTTGGGGAGGGAGGCGCTGCCCTCGTTCTCGGGATGGAGTGCCTCTCAGGTCCTAACCCACACCCTGCCCCGTGCCTCCTGGGCAGCCCCTGGCCCAGGTGCCCAACTGGGTGGGGCTGGCAGGGGTCAGGGACAGCCCGGGAATCAGCACAGGTGGGCCAGTGGGGCCCAGTAGTGTCAGAGAAGCTGCCCTCCCCCTGCCCTGGGGACCTGGGCATGGACCCTGGCCTGCAGAGGTGGCCCGGTGGCCTTGCCGCTGAGATGCTGGCATTGGGGCCTCATCTGGCTGGCGGGGCTGGTGCTGTGGTGATGGAGGGTTCGGCGCCCTCACATGTGGTGTGCTGTCACCGTAGGATGGGGACACGGCGCCCTCCAGGGGTCTGTCCGGGGTCATGGGGATGGTGACCACGAGCAGATACGTCTCTGTCGCAGGGCTGGAGAAAGACCCAGCCACGCTGGCTTCGCAGGCGAGGAAGAGGACAGGAAGCAGTGAGGAGGCCTGCGACCCCACCTCTGCGGCCGCCCAGCTGCACTGGCTCCAGCGCCACTTGCCCCCGGCCTCGCCCCCGAGCCCCAGGTGATGCCAACACCCGCCCCTGCCCAGGCAGCCCCACGTGCGCACCCCGGCCGGGCAAGCACCTGCCAACATCCGTACTGGGGCGGGGGCTGCAGGGGCCAGGGGTCCTCAGCGCTGGTGTGTAGGCCAGGCCGTGGGGGTGGGCCAGGGCTCTGGGGTTCAAGGGGGCAGGCGTCAGAATACCCTTGGGCCCAGCGTGAGGACCGCAGATCTGAGGCCAGCTCCCAGTGTGGTCTTGGGATGGCCAGCCTTTTCGTAGGGCTTCAGTGGCTGCCCTGGGTTCCAGGCCCGAGGTGGCAAAGGTCGCGGCCCAGGTGTGTGACCGGGAGCTCCGCGGGGTGCGGAGAGGCAGGTGGCCGAGGCCAGCTCCCGGCGGCACATCACTGACTCCTCCTCTGCTGTCTCCAGGGTGCCACTGGGTCCAGAGGAGGCCAAGAAGCTGGCGGCAGAGCGGGCCCGGGCGCCTGTCGTGCCCTTCGGGGTGGACTTGTGCTACTGGGGCCGAGAGGAGCCGATGGCCGGGAAGATCCTCAAGTGAGTGCGGGCGTCCCGTGGGTCCTGTGGGCACCCATTCTGCCCCCGGCCTGGGCGCAGGGCCCAGCTCTGCTGCGCAGGCCCTCACGCGTCCCACCGAGCGCAGCTCTCGGGCTCTCGTAGGCATGGTGCCTACCCGGGGTCGTACAGCCCTGCCCAGAGGCCTGTGGACCTTCTTTGAACCTCCTTGTTACTCCCTGGGGGGATGTCCGTCCCCTGTTGTCTGCCCTGATGGTTGGGCATCATGACAGACGGCATGAGGCTTGTCTGCCTAGGACTGGGGTCTGGCCCGGCCCAACCCACTGCTCCAGGCTCTCTGCCCAGGCCCTTGTCATGACCGCCCTCTGGTCCTCTGACTCGGATCTCCGCGGGCCCAGCCTGGGGCTCCGCAGAGAGTTTATGGGAAGCCGCCCCCGTTGCTGCGCTGGACGCTTTCTCTCCAGAGTGGGCACCGCGGTGGGGGTGGGGGTGGGCGGATCTGTCCTCTGTTAACCTCCGTCAGGGAGCCCCTGCCCCGGGTCCAGGCCAGGCTAGGGAGGCGGGCCACCGGGGTGGGGTGCCTGGCAGTGCCCCCACCATGCTAAGCGTCTCTGCTCGTCCTGGATGGGCTCACAAGCCCAGGGGTGCCCCCTGCTCAGCCGCCCAGGCCAGCCTTGCTGCGGGTGCTGTGGTGGCCACCCCGTGACAGTGCTGAGCGTCCGGTCCGTGTGCAGGTCCGACTCGGAGCACCGCTTCTGGAAGCCCCGCGAGGTGGACACAGAAGTAGAGAGCGCCGCTGTCTCTGAGTCTCTCCAGAGCCGCCAGATCACCTTTGCGGGGCGATTCGAGCCCGTGCAGCACCGGTGCCGTGCCCCCCGGCCCGATGGCCGGCTCTGCGAGCGCCAAGACCGCCTGAAGGTGAGGGTGGGGGGCTGGGCAGTGAGGTGGCCACCTCGGCCAGGCCAGGATGGGGCCGGAGGGGGCGCTGGGCTCCAGGCTGCTGGTGCCAGGACCTTCCCCTGCGTGGGTGGTCTGACACACGGGCACAGGGCTGGGTTGCTCTGCTCTGTTCTCTGCGTCCCCGCCCACGTTTGTCTCCTGAGCGCGCTCTGTGCTGGGCCGGGGGTCCACGGAGGCAGCACTGTGCGCCAGGCGGGGCTTTGGCCAGACTGACAACCAGATCTCCCTCTGCTGCCTGGCTGTGTCACGACTGCGCCTGAGGGCCCCTCCTTTGAGGGGTGTGTGAGCAGAGGGTGGTGTGGGCCGGCCATCCCCGGGAGCCGTGAAGGTAGGGATGGCCAGTGGCCCGCTCCCGCCTCAGAATTGCTCCGTTCTCCGCCTCAGTGCCCTTTCCACGGGAAGATCATCCCGAGAGATGACACGGGACGGCCCCTCCATCCGGAGGACAGGGCCTGCGAGCAGAAGCAGAAGCAGCAGCTGCAGAGGCCGGCGGGGCGCCCAGGTAGGTCCGGGGGACTGGGTAGCGGCAGCCACGG